CCGGGGCGATGGGCCCCCCCCGCCCGCCCCCCAGGAATGGCAGCGCGCCGGCACTCACGACCTCCTTGCCATTAACTAGCTGTAACGTGCCCAAGTCTCCAGGCCCACGTGACAAGACTTGACTTTCCTCTTTTTTTTTTTTTCCCCTGAGAAAGCCTTCTTGCACAACGTCCATTTTTAGCACAAACTGGAGTTGGATCAGATGCCTCACATGTGGTCTCCACTCTCCAAAAGAAGGGATCAGCACTTTTTTGCTCCAACGGTTTAACTACAGCCACAGAAACTGAAGATTAAAAAAATTCACTAATTCACTCTTTTCTGCTCTTACAGGCTGGATAGCTGTCCTGCATCGGCACAGCCATCCTCATTCGCTCCTGTAAGTTTTCGTTCATTATACTGGCTAATTATGTGAGCTAAAATGAAAGATTAAGAGCTACAAAACCACAGGCTTTAGGACAAAAAGTGATCATCAGCTGGAATCAGAAGACATTACAATACGTATGAGGACAATACAGTATTGCTTCTGTGGCTGCAGCAAACACTTTGGGAAAAGAGATTTTTCAAAGGCTTTTTCAAGGCTCTCCCCTGTGGGTATAATGGGGTGTCCTCCAATTAACAGCTGTGGAATCAATTAAGTTGTTGCTCAATTCTTCCGGGAAATTCCAACCAGAACTGGCAAACGTTGGAGATAAAGCAATGAGCAGATGGACTGCTGATGTGCTCCGAGATGCCAATGTATTCCTTTTCGTTACTGTAGGAAGACAGTCAGGCTTCTGGGACAGACATCCCACCTCTCCTGCTAAGATCTGCCTGGCCAGCGTGGAACCACGAGGACGTCTCCCATGCCAGGAGCCCTACACGCCGACAGTCACCGACGCGGAGCAGCCCCCCACCCGGCACCACCACCCGCCAACTGCCAGGGCTACCGCACTCGAGGCAGATGCCGCCGAGCTGGCTGGCGACCGTCAGTACAGCTGCGTGAGGTGGTCAGGGAAAACAACGAATAGCTGGAACAGCTTCCAAAACCTCAAGCCACTCTGGTTATTTTTCAGCTCCCCTACAGCTCTCTTCTCGAGCATGGTGAAAACGTTCATCTGTGCTCTGGCCTTAGGAAATGCCTGCTGTGAACGATCGCACCAAACCCCCAGGCAGAAGTGGAGAAGCAACTGAGCTTAAGGTTGCTTTCCACACTCGAACCTTTCAATACACTGGAGTTTGTCAACCATTAGTGACTGTTCAAGTGGCAATTCTGGCAGGTATTTAGGTCCTCAGCTGTCCCATGCATCCCTCATTACGCCTGCACACAGTGCTGAACTCACACCGACAACAGCAGTGGTCTGGTTCTCTTACTCTGAGATAGCTGTACATGCAGATGGACATCCAATTGGTGAGCATCTTCTCCACCACAGATTCTGTTCTCCTCAGCATCAGCTTGGGGTTTTTGGAAGCTGAAGCATCTATTAGATCCACCAAGAGGTCCTTCATGATGCTGGTGTAATACTCCAGTTTCCCATGCAACGCAATCGTAAGCAGGGAGGCCAGGTTACATCTGAAACACAGAATTGTATACGACTCAAGCACCAATCCAACAAGACTAAACTGCCACCCTGAAACACAAAGGTGGTATTTCAGACAATCTTCATGAGCCTTCTCAATGGTGTTAAAACTTCAAATCGTCTTTCAATGCTGCAGGACTTTGGGTCAGCTCGCACCCTCTTACTGGTAAACAAAGTGTTCAGGGAAACAAACACGCACAAGTGAGTCACTCATTGTGCCTTTTAGTGCTCTTCAGCATAACGGAGGTTTATGGTCATCCGTTTCTGACAGAAAAGTGGGAGGCAAGTGTAACTCAACCTTCAACTGCAATGCATGGCTCCAGACATGGGCGGGATTGCTTACAGGTTAGGAACAAATCACTCTCCTGCAGCTGCCAGGTCTTTGGGTCTGAAGCTCATACCTGTCTCTAACAGCAAAGTCCTTCTGTTGCTCGAGAGCATGGACAAACACGATGAGAAAGTGCTTGTTGTTGAGTAAGGTGGAGAACAGCGAAATTCCTTCTTCCATATTGGGTCTGCAGTTTTCAGGGATCTACAGAAAAATTTAGAAAGCAGAGTGAGTAAAACCCTGCTTGTTGTTTTCCTCTAGCTCTTCTCCTTCCCGACCCCAGGGATGTC